GTTGACCTCCAGGTGGTTTGTGGCCCTCGCTCCCCCGCGGAGTCTCCGCTCACCCTGGCCTGGCTTCTCATCCTTGAAATGGACAGACCGTCTAGCAGCGCCGGTGGCTCTGACATTCCGAGTCACGGGAAGGCTGACGCGTCAGTGCCATTCTCTGTCGCCCTGGCCACTCTGACCCCTGCCTGTGGGGGCCTCAGCATCGGCCCGCTCTCCCCTTCCTTCCAGATGCTGACGGATCTGAACACGTACCTCAACAAAGCCATCCCAGACACCCGCCTCACCATCAAGAAGTACCTGGACGTGAAGTTCGAGTACCTGGTGAGCGGTCTGCGGCCTCGGGAAGGCGGGGCTGAGCCTGTGGAGTGGGATGCAGGAGTGGGCAGGGCCTGGGACATGGGCAGGGCCCTCGCTCTGGACCTCTGGCTCTTCGGTCACTTTTAACGATGGGTTAGACGAGGTCCGTGGTTGTGAAGGTTACCACGGGGTGTTGGTGGCGTTATGTTTAATGGTGACTGGCCCTGCGGAGTCGGGGGAAAAGGCTGCATCAAGCGAGCGGGTCCCTCCCTGCGGGAGCCTCTGGGAGGCCGTGTGCAGCGTGAGTCTGCGGGTCTCCCCAGCTGCTTCGCACGAACCTTCCCCAGAGCACCCGTGGGACTTGAGTTTGGTAAATGGCGGGCTGCCTCTCAGGCCCTTCCCACCCTCCCAGACGAGTGCCCTCCCCTGTGCTGCCATCAGGGACCATCCAGCAAGGCTCAGCCTGCGTGAGGGGCTGCATCCCTGTGCCCCGAAGCACTGCTGCCAGCTTCCCTGGTGCCCAGCCTGTCCCAGCCAGGAGCCTGGCAGAGCTGCTCCCCTGGGTGGCCTGGGGGCAGTGTGGCATGTGGCACTGGGGACGTCGGGTGGGCGTCCAGGAGGTGCGGCCACTCTGACAGCCTGGCTTCACCTGTCCTACGCAGTCATATTGCCTGAAGGTGAAGGAGATGGACGACGAGGAATACAGCTGCATTGTGAGTGTCACGGGGCCGGGGGTGCCCAGCCTTCCCTGCCTGCCTCACAGAGCCCCAAGAATGCCCTGGGTCTGTCAGGACACCAGGTGGGTCAGGCCAACCTGGGAGAGGCCTGGGGGCTTGGCCGGGCTCTTATTCCTGGAGACGTGGGGCTACCCCCCACCCCGGCCCCTCTGGCCGGCTCGCTGTGGGACCGTCCCCTGTGCCCACTCCCTCCCGCCCCCCTCCCTGCCCTGACTGTGTGAGGTTCTTGCAGGGAAAAGGGGGCTTTCTACACTCCTGAGAGGCCTTTTTTATTTTTTAAATCTGTAATAACTTTTTAAAATATATTTATTGATTTTTTACAGAGAGGAAGGGAGAGGGAATAGAGCAGGGGTCCTCAAACTACAGCCTGTGGGCCACATGCAAATACAAATATTGTATTTGTTCCCGTTTTGTTTTTTTACTTCAAAATAAGATATGTGCAGTGTGCATAGGAATTTGTTCATAGTTTTTTTTTAAACTATAGTCCGGCCCTCCAACGGTCTGAGGGACAGTGAACTGGCCCCCTGTTTAAAAAGTTTGAGGACCCCTGGAATAGAGAGTTAGAAACATCGATGAGAGAAATATCGATCAGCTGCCTCCTGCACACCCCCTATTGGGGATGTGCCCACAAACAAGGTACATGCCCTTGGCTGGAATCGAACCTGGGACCCTTCAGTCCGCAGGCCAACGCTCTGTCTACTGAGCCAAACCGGTTAGGGCTGAATCTGTAATATTTTTGATACCAGGATCTATCTTATGACTAAGTGTTCATTTATTTAACGAGGCAAGGGTTTGTTTTGTTTTGTTTCTCATGAAGCTGTAACTAAGTGCTTCTCAAAATCTCTGGCATCTCTGAAGTGAGGAGCCGTGGTAGCTTTGAAAGGTGCCATGTGGTGCCCCCTGCCCCATCTGCCCCAGAGCAGATCCCGCCCCACCCAGGTCCCTGATGTGCCCCTCCCCACCCCAGGCCCTCGGGGAGCCCCTGTACCGGGTCAGCACAGGCAACTACGAATACCGCCTGATCCTGCGCTGCCGCCAGGAGGCCCGCGCCCGCTTCTCCCAGATGCGCAAGGACGTGCTGGAGAAGATGGAGCTGCTGGACCAGAAGCATGGTGAGGGGCCTGGTGGGGATCGGGGGCCCAAGGGTCATGCCCTCCCTCAGCCAGTCCATACACCATCCTCATTGTGGTGAGTGGATACCATCTTCTCCCCATTTCAGAGCTGGGAAAACTGAGGCCCAGAAGGGAACATTTTAACGTGATGTCCCAGGGCCAGGCCCTGCCATGCAGTGCTTTGTCAGACCCAAGAGGGAGAGCTGGCAGGAGCACACCCACCTCCCAGAGCCTGGACTGGGTGGGACTGGACTCCCTGGGGTGCAGTCCACACCCACCCGCCCTGGCAGGGCTCCTCTGTTCCCTCAGTGGGAGCCTGATACCTGGGTACTGTGAAGGCCCAGGAGGTGCACGATGGGAAGCCCAGGGCAGGGAGCGGGCCCAGGCAGGCTTGGAAGGCCCAGGCCACAAGGCAGGCAGCCGGCCCACTGGTGCCTCGCCACCCGCTCTCCTGCCCAGAAGCATGTCCAGGACATCGTGTTCCAGCTGCAGCGCTTCGTGTCCACCATGTCCAAGTACTACAACGACTGCTACGCCGTGCTGCGTGACGCTGACGTCTTCCCCATCGAGGTGGACCTGGCCCACACCACGCTGGCCTACGGCCCCGGCCAGGAAGAGTTCACTGATGGGGAGGACGAGGATGAAGACGACGAGAACACGGCAGCCAGGGAGCCGTCCAGGGATGCGCGAGGGGCTGCCGGGCCCCCGGACAAGGGTGGGAGCTGGTGTGACTCCTGAGTGTGCCTGCTGTGGGGTGCGGATTTGGGGGGTAGGGTGAGTGGGAGGACGAGAGCGTGGGAGCTGGGGCTGGGCCGCCGCGCAACAGGGTGGCGCATAAAGGCCTGCTGGCTTGGGGCGCCTGCCTCCCTGCTCCTCTGTCCTCGCACAGCGAACCTGGGCCCCCCAGGCAAGGCCACAGGCTGCGACCTCGGGCCTGGACACTGGCCCTCCCCCTCCTCCCTACCCCCCCAGCCAGGAGAGCTCGGTCTCTGGACCGGATCCAGGAAGGCAAGAGGGCAGAAGGGAAGAGGGGTGGGCAGTGGCAGGCAGTCCAGGGCCCAGTCCTGTGGGCACCTCCGTTGGTGTGGGGGCTGGGGATGGACTGCCGAGGCCGGCCCGGGTCTCGAGTACACCTCGCCCCCCCAGGCTGGCCCAGCCCCGTTCGCTCGCACACCTCGGCGGCCTTTATTTATTTTATCCCCCAGCTCAGCCACTTCCCGGGGGAGGGCTGGGCGCTGGGCCTGTACTGAATAAACAAATCCAGACGGAGCCGGGCTCTGCAGCGCCTTAGACCTGCCTCTCTCCGCTCCCCTCTTGTCGCCTGATCGCGAGGCGGGTGGGCAACAAGGGCTACGGCCCTTCCCTTCATGTGCCTCACGTGCCTGGTCCTCACAGCAGTACTGCCGGCAGCACCGCGGGCCCCGTTCACAGAGGAGACTCCTGCTGAGGCCACACTGGACAGAGACTGGGATCGACGCAGATCTGTCCTGTCCAAAAGACGGTTCCCCTGCCTCCTAGGCTCGCTGGTGTGTGGCGCCCTTCACGTCCGTCCTCACCTTGATCCTTCAGGGCTCTGCCTCGAACTCAACCTTTGTTTGGGGATGGGCAGGACAGACGCTAGGTCAGGAGGCCCTGAGGCCCCAAACAGGAGCACGTTCAGGGTGCCCCGGCCACTCCAGGTGCTCCCTTCTGCAGGCCCTGGGAGGAGCCCAGAGGAGATGCGCAGAGCACCCTGTGTCTTTGTTGGGGGGCGGGCGGTAGAAACGGGGTGGCCGTGTGTCCTGCCTCACCTGGACAGCCAGTGCCCCTGCGGTGCCAGTATGGTTACTGATAGCGGCCCTGTTCCCTTTCAGAGCGCCCCTGCAGGACAGGGACCCACGCGGTGGGTGGAGACCTGCAGGGGGTGGCCAGCAGGGTTGGGAGCAGGAGGGAGGGACTGGCTGTCACCAGGTCCACGTGGGTCCCTAGAGCTGTCAGACGGCACCACCTTTGAAGGGGCAGCCAGCGAGGCCAAGGGCACAAACGAACTGGCAGCCTGGGATCAGTCGGCCTCTGTGACGCTGGGTTCTCCCTAACGCCCCTGTGCCTTGGTTTCCCTCTCTGATACGGCTAATGATGGCACCTGCCTTGTTGGGCTGTTCAGAGGACTAGATGAGTCCAGTTAAGGGTTTGGGACAGTGCCTGGCAAGTCGCTCTCTGTGTCTGTTAAAATGAGAGGGAACCATTGTTCTTAGGGGTGGAGGTGGGGAAACCGCAGGTGCAGGAGACCTCCGGGGACGCCCCATGCGGGAAGCAGGCGCCAGGGGCAGCCCTCAGAGCCCTTTGGTGCCCACAGGGACCTGTGTCCGAGGCAAAGGCCCCAGGACACTCGCGTTTGCATCCTAGAGAGAGGGGCCCTCTCAAAGGAGAGGGGAGGATGCCTGGCAGGAGGCAGCAGGGCAGTGCTGGCCCCACGCCCCAGGCGACCACAGGATGGGTCGCTGCCAGCCTCAGCGCCGAGTGGAGGCTCAGGGCCAGGACTCACCCCGTCCTCGACGCTGCTCTTTCTCAGAGGTTCTGGGTCCCCCTCCACAAGCAGCCCCCACCCTCCAGTGGCAGGTGCTGCCAGTGGGCAGGGCTGGGGCTGGTGGGAGCCCAGGGCCAGGCCCACCCCAGCCCTCAGTCTGGGATCACCTTCCCCACCCTTCCCCCATCTCTGCCCCATCCTACCCGCCCCTCCCCAGGTCGAAGCCAGAGCCACAGCCACAGCGGAGGCGCAGGAACAGAACCTGTCTTTGGGCTGAGCTTTATGAACTTGAGTTTCACAGCGCTCAGGCCCATTTTGGGCTCAGCAGCTTCACTGAGCGGGGGCAGGGCCGGCCATGGCTCGAGGGGCAGACAGGGAGGAAGCTCGCACCTGGCACCCAGGGGTGACCACCCTGAGCAGCCTCCCTCGGCCAGGGAAGCCCTGTGTCTGCAGTCACTAGCTCTCCACCCCACGCCTCTGCGCTACACAGACTCCGGGTCCAGCCCTGGCTCTGCCTCCACCTCGGGTGCTGAGGGCCCAGCCCCAGGGCTGAGCAACTCCAGAGCCTCAGGGACACTGGGCTCCGGGGTGGGCAGGGGCTCGGAGTCCCCTTCGGCCTCTGCGGCCTCCGAGTCGCTGGCCCCGCCCTCGGTGCCGGGGCGAGGCGGGGCGTCCTGAGCGCGGCGCAGGCAGCAGTTGGTGGCCACAGCCATGAAGAGCCCGGCCAGGACCACCTCGGAGCCCGCCAGGTAGAAGATGACCTCGTAGCTCTTCAGCGCGTCCACCAGGTGGCCTGGGGTGGGGAAGGGGGGTTAAGGACAAGCGGGGGACCCCACCCTGCACCCCCAGTCTTGATTCCCATTTTACAGAATGAAAACCCCGCACAAGTTCTGCCATGTGAGACCTTAAAAAAGGGCCTCAAGTTCTTCAGTGACATGGCGAGGCAGCACTTTATAGTTAACGAGGCTCCCCTCCACCCGCAGAGTCAAACCCCACATGTGCCTGCGCGGCATGCGGCTGGGAGATTTGGGGTAGGAGGGGGGAAGGAAGGGGCTCTGGGCTCAGCCCCTCTCCTGGGGCCCCCCAACTCTTGCTCTTTCCACCAACCTTCAGGGGCCAGTCTCAGCTCTCCACTGGCCCCGCCCCCGCCCCACCCCCTGGCCGCCTCCGCTCCTCCTGGGACCCCCACTGAGCTCATTAGCACGGCTGGGACCTGGGACAAGGTTTGTGGGTTGGTCACTCCTATTCCCTTCTCTGCATATCCAAGTTTTCCATCACACGCACCTGTTACTGTCATTCTCGGGAAAATCTTCATTGCAGATACTTTCCCCTAAAGTGTGGTTCCTCCGTGGGCTCCTCCCTCTCCCGGGCATTCTTGTGGCTGTCCACACCTGGGTCTGCATCTCTGTGACCTTCCAAGTGCCCAGTGACCCCTGAGCGGGCTGTGCCCCCTGAGCCCCTCTGAGCAGTACTCCACCAAACTTGTCTTCCTGGTCCCTGTCCCACCCATACACAGCCCACGTGACTTCTCCGCCTTTTAGGTTATGGTTATGGTTATGGTTATGGTTATGGTTATGGTTATGGTTATGGTTAAAGGTTAGGGTTAGAGTTATGGCTTAGGGTTAGGGGTTATGGTTATGGTTAAAGGTTAGGGTTAGAGTTATGGTTTAGGGTTAGGGTTATGGCTTAGGGTTAGGAACCTGATGGGTGGTGAGCAGGTTCCTTGTCTGTGTCTTCCCTCTGGTCCCCCACGGACACCTCGACTCAAGTGACACCGGAACCCAGTGGTGGGTTTAGGTTATGGTTTAGGGTTAGGGTTATAGCTTAGGGTTAGGGTTATAGCTTAGGGTTAGGGTTATGACTTAGGGTTAGGGTTAGGGTTATGGCTTAGGGTTATGGTTATGGTTTAGGGTTATAGCTTAGGGTTAGGGTTATGGTTTATGGTTAGGGTTATGGTTTAGGATTAGGGTTATGGCTTAGGGTTAGGGTTATAGTTTAGGGTTAGGGTTATGGTTAGGGTTATGGCTTAGGGTTTGGGTTAGGGTTGTGGTTTAGGGTTAGGGTTATGGTTTAAGGCTATGTTATAGTTTAGGATTAGGGTTAGGGTTAGGAACTACACAGGAAAATGAAAGCTGGTTCTCTAAGCCTGGTTGGGGCGGTGAGGGGGCTGGTTTTGTGGCCTTTGGTAGTAAGCTTGGGGGCCTCCATACATGGTTTCAAAGGCTTTGCAGTTCCCACTGGGTCAGGTGAGGTGTCCAATCTTGCTGAGGGCACTCAGCTAGCCCAGCCTCGGAAGCATGGGCAGCTCACCCCATCTCTGTGCACACTGGGCGCCAGCAAAGGTGACCTCTCCCTGCCACGGGTCCCTTCCTGCAGCTGACAGCTCCCTCCAGCTCACAGCCGGGCTTCCTGCTGTTTAGGGATCACCCAACCACCCAGGAAGATATGAATGTCCCCCTCACACCTTCCCGGCCCTAGCTCCTGCCTTCCTCGTGCAGGAATACTGCTCCCTGCGAGTCTACCCTGTGCCCTGTGGGGTCTGCCCTGCCTTGTGGGGCTGCCTTCACGCCAGCGCCTGCAGGAAGCCCTCCTGGACCACCTCCTCAGGACAATTTCCTAAAAGGTGATGAGTGTCGAGTGCCCAGCAGGCAGTGTGCACAGGGCAAGAACCCAGCGCCCCTCCTGCAGTGAGCACCCTGAGCACCCCCACTCCGCTCCTGGCCCCAGGGCTGGTTCTCCAAAGACACGGTCCCTGTTCCAGTCACTCAGGGGCTGGGCCACTAAAGCACTCAGAGGAAGTGTTTCAAAGGCGAGGCATTTAGTGCCGGGCAGGGCTGCACTGTCATTCTGGGACTGAAACTTGTACTAGGCCTCTGTGCCTCAGTTTCCCCAGCTACAAAAGGAGAATGCGCATTTGTTCTGTGCCAGCTGCCAGAGATGAGCCGGCAGCCATCAATGTTGGTGCTTCCTGGCACTTTTCCGTCCCCACCCAGAGCTGGTGGCACCGGCCTGGAGGAGGGCTAGTAAGCCACGGGAAGGGGAGCCCACCCACCAGGCTGTCTCCCCTGACGGGTCATCCCTGTAAGTTCCATTTTACAGGCAGGGGGCTTCCTGCGGGCTCAGGGGCCCTCGGCAGCGCCACCCCCTCCTGAAGGGCGCACCCGCAGAAGGCGGTCCGATGAGCACAGCCACGGCCTCGATGAGCAGCACCAGGCCCAGCGCGCTGGGGAAGCGGGGCGCGCCCACGGCCGCCATGAGCACCTCGAACTGCAGCGCCCCCACCATGCCGTAGGAGAGGCCGAACGCCACGCAGAAGGCGACCAGGGCGCCGTAGGAGCGCGCGCGCGCGCTGCTCAGGTCGGTGAGCCCGTTGGCCAGCAGGGCCAGGCTGAAGAGGTCGGCCACGTGCGGCCGCAGGCGCGCCAGGCCGGCCAGGGCCCCGCACGCCGGCCGCGCCACGATGTCCACGAAGCCCACGATGGAGAGCAGGAAGGCGGCGTCCGCGTCCGGCACGCCCGCGTCCTTGGCGTAGTTCACCAGCAGGATGGCGGGCACGAAGAGCCCCAGCGCCATCAGGAACTTGGTGACGGCGTACACGGCGAAGGCGCGGTCGGCGCACACGGCCACGTCCAGCAGGCGGCGGCGGGCCGGGCCGGCGGGCGCCGCGCTCGGGCTCAGCCCCTGGCGGGCCGCCTCCGCCCGCGCCCCCCGGGCGCTGCCCCCGCGCCGAGGGCCGGGCCCCGGCGGCCGCATGAGGGCGCCGCACGCGCAGCAGTGCAGCAGGAGGCCGCCCAGCAGCAGGAAGCCGCCGCGCCAGCCGAAGCGCTCCAGCAGCTGCTGGCCCAGCGGCGACAGCGCCGCCAGGAACACGGGGCTGCCCGCCGCCGCCAGCCCGTTGGCCAGCGGCCGCCGCCGGTCGAAGTACCGCCCCAGCATGATGAGCGACGGCTGGAAGTTGAGGGCCAGGCCCAGGCCTGCGGGCGGGCGGGCGGGGCGGCGCTGGCCAGGCTCCCCAGGGCCCCGCCCCAGAGCGGGAGGGAGGGGCGAGGCCCCGCGGGGCGAACCACCCCCCTCCCCCGGGAGGGGAGCAGAGGGACCTGGCGGACAGCTCCTCGCGGGGAAACGGAGGACAGGGGCTCTTGCCCAGGACTCCCGGCCCCCCACGGCCCTCACCTGTGAGCACCCCCGCCGTCAGGTAGAGCTCCAGGAGGCGCCGGGCGAAGGAAGCCAGGACCATGCCCGCCGAGGCCAGCAGCCCGCCCTCCAGCATCACCGGGCGGCAGCCGAAACGGGCCACGAGGACGCTGGACACCGGGCCTGGGGGCAGGCAGAGTCACGCTCGGCTGGTCCGCTCTCTTCTCGGGTGGACACACGCCAGGCTCTGCACCCCCAGCCCTGGAGGAGGCTGGGGGATCAGGTCACCCGTGGCGCAGGGGCCCCCGGGGCACACGGCTCGGCTGGGAGACGCCCAGGAGACAGCGCCCCGTGGGGACTCGGGGAGGGACCTGTCCTGGCCCAGAGCCCCCTCCCCACCCTCCAGAGAACACGGAACCCAACGCGGGAAGGGCAGGCCCACCCCCTTATCTGCACAGCCTGGGGGCGTGGGCGGCCTCCCCTCCGGCCGCTGCCTCTTTCCTGTCCTCGCCTCCCCTCTCCGGGGTCCCCGCGCCGTCCGAGGGGCTCCGAGGGCGCCCACGGGGTCCGGCACCTGCGGGTCCCTAACCCCCGCCGCCCGGACGGGCGCTGACCGGTGCCGTAGAGCATGGCGAGCATGATGGAGGACACCCAGGCCGCCTCGCTGTAGCCCGCGCCGAAGTCGCGCATGAGCGCGCGGAAGAAGACGCTCACGGCCTTGGGGAAGCCGTAGGCGAAGCCGGTGACCACGAAGCAGGCGCCCAGCACCGCCCAGCCCCAGCCGCCGTCGGGGGGGCCCTCGCCCCGCCGGGGGCCGCCCGTGCCCATGGCCTCTGCCTCTGCTGGGGGAAGAGGAGACGAGAGGGAGCAGCCAGGGTGTCACCCAGACCAGCGGGGAGGGAGACCCAGCCTGGGGAAACTGAGGCACCGGCCTCCCCACCGGAGCCCTGCGCAGGGAATGAGGCCAAATTCCCGCCTCCCGCGGGCACGTGAGGGAAGAGGGGGGACAACAGAGTCGGTCCCACCTGAGTCCTGACTTCCGGAAGTCTCTATGGGGGGCACCCCTTGCTCTTCAGGGCCTGGTGGCGGCAGGAGAGGGGGTGTGGTGAGTGGGGGAGCCTGGCAGCCAGCGTGTGCCTGGCAGTGTGGTGTCCCCAGCGAACATGTCTGATGTTGGACAGGGGAACAAGCATGGGGGGAGGGGGGGGAAGAAACAGGCACCAGCAGCGAAATGGGCCGAGATGCCCCCTTGGCCTGTGGTATGTCCTAATTCCTCAATGACCAGGAGTGACTATTGTCATTGGAATATTATGGGGGGAGGGGGACAAGAGTGCGTGTATAGAGCATTAGCCTCTCGGAAGCCAAGGGAGCCGAGTTCCAGCTCATCCAGCTCAGCCATGGATCTGCTGGGTGGCTTGGACAGGCCCTGCCCCTGTGAGCCTCAGTTTCCCCACCTGTAAGATGAGGGATTGATCACCCCAGGCCAGCAGGGACTCTTGGGGTGGGGTTGGAGGTCTGGCTCTCACTGGGCAGGTGGGGACCTTTAGGTGGCACCAGGAGAGAGCCCTTCTGCCCCCTGAACCCCTAGCAGCCTCCCCAACCCCTGCACATGCCGGAACCCTCTCAGAAGTCTGTCACACTCCTGGGCTCAGCCATGGGTTCACGCGGCAGCCGCCTGCGTTCCCCGTCCCTGGGATGGACGAGCCTCTAGCTGGGCGGCAGCCTCCCTCGCCCTGCAGCCCCTCCTCACCTGGGCCTCCCTCCCTCCTGCAGCCCCTCCTCACCTGGGCCTCCCTCCTGGCATCGGGCAATGCCCAGGGACCTGTGGGTGTCGGAACTCTGCCCCTTCCCTGCCAGGACAGGTCTGGCCTTTCTGCCTGCTGCCCTCTTCTCATGAGACAGGGTGGTCCCTGGCAGCCTTGCCCCACACTCACCAGAGCCGTCCTGTGGGTTTGGGCGTCCAGCCTCACATCTGAGGCCTGCAGGGGGGGCTCCCCGGTATACCCCAGCCTGGTGGGGGGTGCAGCCAGACTCCCAGGCTTGCCTGCAGATCAGCCACTGGCCTGGCTCTTACCCCAGGCCGGGGGCTTAGAGCATTCCCCCCCCCCACCCCCTAAGAGGCTTTTCCTGGGAGGGGTGAAGGGACAGGGGGCCCCAGGCCTGCCGGGGAGATTTGGACAGATGAGGCTTCACGTTCTGGGGCCCCAGGAGGACACACAGAGCCCTGTTCTGGTGGTGGTGGTGGTGGGGGTCCTGCTGGTGCTGGGGGCATAGTCCTGTCCTGGAGAGACACCCCCCAGGCCCCAATCACCTCAATGCCTCGTGTGCCCCTGACCCCCGGCCACATTCCAGGAAGGGCCTCTGTGCCTTCCCCTGGATAAAGCTAATCCAGGAGAGCCCGGGACGGGGGCAGGGAGGGCGGAACAAAGGGCGCTGTGTCCCAGGCCACTGATGGGCCCTGACCTCGGCCACTGCCACCCGCTGCCCCTGGAGAGGCAGCTATTTCCTGAGGCTGGAGATGGAGGAGGGGGAGGGCTATGAAGGGATCAGAGGGGGTGAGGCCTCCCAGGCACCTGCCGGTGACCCCATTCTCCAGTGGGAGGTCTCCATGCCCACCTGCCCAGCCCCCAGACCAGAGAGCACCAGTCCTGCTGCCTGTCCACTTGCTTTATTTCTCATTGTTTACAAAAGTTAAAAGGGGACAAGTGCGGGAGGGGGAGGGTGTGTAAGGGGCTCCTCCCCACTGGGGTGGAGAAGGGGAAAGAGGATGGGGGCGTGAGGTAGGCCCCCAGGGAGAGTCCTGGGGCCCCTGGACGGGAAGAAGTGGTGCTGGCCCCATTCTGCCTGCTTTATTTTGAAGGTCCCAGACCCCATGCCGGGGCCCTCAGAGCTGCTCAGGCTGGGGACTTGGTCAGGGGAAGGGCGCCCCCCACCAGGATCAGGGCCCCGGCATCTCGAATCCACGGCTGCTGCTGCTGCTGCCGCCAGCTCTGGGCATGTGGCGGGGCGACCTCAGACCCCTGATGGAGGAAGGCCTTCAGCGGATGAGGGGCGCCGAGCGGTCATTGGTGACAGTGGGACGCAGCTTTACGGTGGCAAAGGGGTTAGTGCCCCTGTGGGGGGAGAGGTCAGAGAGAGGTCTCCAGCTGGCTGTGGGTCCGGGGAAGGCACCTGGACACCTGAGCCAGGTGTCCACCCTGCCTCCTGTCCCGTCACCCACACTCATCCCCACCCTGTCTCCCTCTACCGAGTCCAGTCCCCGCTGGCCCAGTCCTGCCCCAGACTCACCGAGGGAAGAGCTCTGGTGGCTGCTGCTCCCAGGACATGAGCTTCTGCAGGGGAGGAAGGGCCAGGTCCGGAGGGTTAAGGGGCCAGCCAGCTCCTGCCCCTCCCTCTCCCCCTCTACGAGGCAGCGGCCCCCCAGTGCCAGGCTCTGGGCGTGCAGCCCTGGTGTCCTGAGGCCCAGGATTCTGTGGGTTTCAGACTTGAGAAGCCTCTGGGCCAGAGGACAATCTCCGGGACAAGACGGTGGTGGCCTTATGGGGAGCCGTTCCCTGTGTCACTACCCCGCCCCGGCTCTGACCCACGACCCTGGTGTGTCCTCCCTGGGAGGCAGGGAGGACAGGCCTTTCCCAGTGCTCCTGGCAGGGCACCTGGGGCTCTAGTCCCTGACATGAATACATCCCCCACCCCTCCCTGCACAGATGGGCAGACCGAGGCCCGGTGGAGGGGCCCCTGCCAGACACAGTGGGAAAGCACAGAGGGTTCCGGGGTCTGCAGTCTCCCTGCCCACTGGTGACCCAGGTTGTGGACAGCCTGGGGGAGAGGGCTCACCTTGATGTCAGTGGCCACCCCCGTGCTGCCCATGCTGCCTCGGCGGCTGCCAGGCAAAGGTGTAGGTGCGGGGCTGGGGGCGCGGCTCGGGACCCGGCTGGGAGTTCTCGAGCGGGGCTGGCCGTCCCAGTACTCTGAGGGCGCTGTGGCGTTACCCGGCCGGTCCAGGAGGTCGTCTAGGCTGTGGCTGCCCCGGAGCGGGTAGGACCTGAGCTCAGAAAGGAGGGGAAGGGAGGGGATCAGGGGTCAGGCCCCATCTTCTGGGCCCCTGAGCTTCCTACAGCCTCATCCCCGCCGCCTGGGGGAGAGGAGACTGTTGGCTTGCAGGCAGCCCTGAGAGGCGGCAGAGGGATGGACACAATGACCTTCACAGTTAGAGAGACGGGGTGCCCTTTCTCCAGAGGCTACAGGGGGGTGGGCCCACTCAGGACTGCAACTCACAGATAGCCCCCTGATGGGTGGGGTCACCCCCCACTGGAGTCCCCACCCCTGCCCCAACTCTGACCACCCAGGTACCTGGAAGGTAGCTCATTCATAGGGCTCATGGGGTTCATGGAGGTCACTGGGTTCAAGGGGTTCATGGGGTTCATGGAGGTCATGGGGTTCAAGGCGTTCATGGGGTTCAAGGCGTTCATGGGGTTCATGGAGGTCACGGGGTTCAAGGCGTTCATGGGGTTCACGGGCACCTCCTCCAATGGCTTCACATAGGCCTCGGGGAACCAGCCGCTCCTGCTGGGGAAGCAGAGGGTCCCCTAAGCAAAGGCCCAACAACGTGACCCAACCACCTTCCCCGGGAGCACACAAGCCCGGGGCCCTGCAGGTGCGGCTTGCTCCAGGGCTGTGCCGAGGGCAGCGCATGTCACCCCTTGAAGGTCTTTCTTGGCATTCAAGGCCACCAGCCCAGCCTCGTGTCCCCCAGGCTCGGGCTCCTTAAGAGGAGGAACTGGAGATCCGGAAGGAAAGCAACATGTCCAAGGACTAGGGTCACCCCTTCAATCCCTGCTCACTGAGCACCCACCATGACGGCCCAGAGAGGCAGGCACAGTCCTCCCCAGAGGCTCCTGGCCTGGCAGGGGACGGACCACAAGCATGATGACAGGGTGACAGCCAAGGGCAGGTCCAGCGGAAGGGACGCCCACGCCCAGGTGCCTGACCCCCGCCTGTGCTCCCTCCTTCCCGGCCCAGCTGCTGCCCTCCGGCCCCGGTGCCCTGGACAGCCTGCCTTTGGAGTCTTTGCCTGTTTAGGTCCTTCAAGGATTTCCCCTGCGAGTGACTAAGGAGAGCAGCCAGCCTGCGAGGGCCCAGCACGGCCTCTGCCGCCTGGGGAGGCCACGCCCACCCCATCAGAGCCGGTCCGGCTGACCGGGGCGCAGAGGGAAGCGGTCCCTCCCCCGGTGTCGGGTGCACAGTAGGTGCTCGTAATAAGGTTCTGTAATGTTCCGCTTGAGTCTTCCGTTCCCGCCTGTCCCACCTCTCACGGCCGCACCCCTCGGTAAGGAGGCTCTTGCTCCCTCATGGAGCAGATGGGGAACCTCCATCAGGGACGTCTCGGTCGGAGCTGGCGGTCAGGCCTCCGGGTCCGCCCCGCGCCCCCTGGCCCCCGGCCCCCGGCCCCCGGCCCACTCACGTGGACGAGCCCTCCAGCTTGCCGTAGAGCCAGCCGTTCTGGGCCTCCGCCACCAGCACCTCCACGACGTCTCCGGCCGAGAAGCGCAGCAGCGTGTGGTTGGCGCCCTCCGAGTGGGAGACGAGGGCGCGGACTCGCCGGGCGCCCCCGCCGCCGCCCCCGCCGCCCGGGCGCTCGCCGAACGAGTTGGAGCGCGAGCGCTGGGCGCTGCCGGCGTAGAGCGAGGCTGCGGGCGGAGAGCGCGGCGCGTGGGCGGGGGCCCCCGCGTCCCTTCCCGGACCCGCACCCAGGGCCCGCTGCCCGCTCCGGCGCGGCACTCACAGGCGGACGGCGTGCGGGGCAGGGAGCGGCGGTCTGGCTCCAGCTG